TGGGTGACCTTGGTGCCCCCTGTCCTGATGCCTACCAGGCCCCTTAGTGCTTACATGGGCTGTTTCAGTACATGGTTCATGGTTTGTTGATTCTAGGCTCTCTATCTTTTACACCCCCATCCCCCAACAAACCTAGTTTAAAGCCCTGCATAGGAGATCAGCCAACCTGTCAGAAAACAGACTCTTACCTTCTGAAGTGAGATGAAGACCATCCCATCCCAGGATGCCCTTTTTGTGGAAGTGCAGATTGTGGTCTAAGAAACCAAAACCTGTGCAATGGCACCAAATCTGGAGCTGTAGGTTGACTTCTCTGATGCAGGTGTCTTGATGCTAGCCATGACCACTGACCAAGTTTGACAAGAAAACCATCTGTACCCCCAACTTCCTAAGCCTGACCCCCAGAGCCCTGCAGTCACTCATGATATGGCCTGGACTGCTTTTAGCTGCATCATTTGTGCCCATATGGATGAGGACCATGGGATAGTAATCAGTGGGCTGGATGAGGTCAGGAATCCTCGTAGTGGTGTCTCGGATCCAAGCTACTAGCAGACAGTACACCTCCCTCGCCAGGGGATACAGACAACAGATGGCTCTCTCCATTCCTCTCAGGATGGAGTCACCCACTGCAATGACTCAGCATCTCTTCCTCCAGCTGTCTGGTTGTCCCTCAGCCTGCATGGTGTGGGATATAGGTGTGGCCTTCCTCCAGTACTTCCAGGGCCTCATATCTGTTCCTGAGTTGCACTGGGGGGTAGGTTGTTTCAGCAATACAATGCCTGGCTCTGGAGGTGACCATCTTCCATACTTCTGCATCTGGTCCCTCCCATGAAGTCTCACCTCTTGGTGATCGGGCCTGCAAAGAATGAAAGTACTCATCAATTTTATCCTCTGCATCCCTGAGGGGATTCTGTTCCTCCAGGTCTCAGGGGCCCTGCCAGGCAACCCCTGCAGATGGGGGGCCAGGGCACTACCGACCCTCCCAAGGACTCCATCTGGGTGGACACTTCAGAGGAGTCCTGGGTGGGAGGCCTCACCAGGGCAGGGTCCCTGGATGCACATCAGGTCCTTACCAGCACAGTAAGACTCCTCCTTTTCCATACACATGAAGTCTTCTTCCAAGGCCTCTGACAGCTAGGGTCTCAGGCCCCTCCTGTGCACTCTCCTGCGCAAACTCCCCTGCAAACTCCAGTGTATCCCTGAAGAGTGTGCCTCTTTTTCCAGCCTGTTTGTATGGCTCCCACCCTGCTTGGCTATATGGGGATGGGAGGGTGGAAAAAAACCCTTCCCATTCTGCTACAGCTGTACCGGTTCCTCACTCCTCCCTCTCACTCTCCTCAGCTTGCCTGCACATTGCTTACTCATTTGCCAGTCAGGCCACTCTGCTTGGTGTGTTTTACAATCTTCAAGAGTTACTTGAAGGTTACTGCTTTTGCAAAGGCAGCAGCAAAAAGTTGGTTCTCCGACAAGCCTCTAGGCCTTGAGATATCTTTCAGGCATGTAGGGTTACTTGAAAAGGGAGGGGCATAGGGAAAAACAGGGACACCCCAGGAACACTGGAACATCTGGGCCAGCTGCAAGCATGCAGGAAGGGGTGAGGGGAAAATCTCCCCATACTTTCAGTACAAACATATGGACTCGGGACACCATGTCCTGCCACAGGCAGCAGCAAGCAGAAGGGAGTGGGGGGGGGGTGGGGCGGAGAGGTCTCAACTCTCTTCACTTGTGTCAGGAAGTATGGAGGGTGGTGTTTCCCCCATCCCTATGCTGCTGTCTGGGAGGCTCAGGCTCTGGTATAGCCCAGAAGAGTGTCCCCAGCTCCATGCTTAGGTGCGGGCTGTGAGAAGGATTTCCCCTTCCTGCCCCAGTTTGTTTCCATGGGAAATCCCTGAGGATACTGGGGGATGACCTCTTAGTACAGTCATCTAATTCTTTTGCTGGTGCTGCAGACCAGTGAGAGCTCCAGCTGGTCATCAGCAGTGCAAACTGTTATTCCTTCTACCCTCCACCTCATAGTCTGCCCTATTCCTGCATAGCCATACACATGGTACAACATCTTCATTGCTTATGGAAAGCAATGATGCAATTAGAATAATCTCTAGAGCCACCTTCAAGTCCATCTTCTTCATGGCTGGCTTGCAGGTGGACATGGGGAACTTGGTAACCCATTTCATGAGCACTGGTCATGCTTGGTGACACATATGGAGATCATTGAGGGGCCTAGAGATGTTCAGATAGGTCCTAAAAAGGTTACCCTGGACTTGCAGGGGAATGCAACCTGAAAGAATGTTCAAAGAGTATGTTGTTGGGTGGCACACTCTGTTGGGAAATATTATGAAGCTCAGGGTGTTCAAAGCGAGGGCATCCAATAAACTGAGTCAGTGGACTAGACACCAGCTGTGGAGGTAATCTAGGTTTCCAGAGCTATGCCCAGGCCACTGCAGGGCTTCCTCATCTGCTTCTTAGAAATATGGGAAATAAACCCCTGCAAACCTATTAGCACAGGAAACCAAACACCCTTGAGATCAAATAATAGTTGTAACCACTAATATAGAATATGCTGCTTGTTAGAAAGGGGTATGGAATACACAAACTGTGAGTCAACAAACTTTTTGATTCAAAGAATAGACATAAAATATTTTTAAATAGCCTTTATTTTGTATACATTGTTTTATGATCATTAGTCTTTCTCATGATTTTTCAAGAACCTGACCCCTTGAACTCTGTAGGGCAGAAACAGTGAATGACAGAAAAGTCCTTCATGGGAAATCAAAATCCCCATCAGTGCCTGAAATGTCTAAATAATGGCTGATAAAAGTAAAATGTTTTGTGGAAAGTCTAGTATTGAGTTCTTTTGGATACAAGACAGACAGATTTTGTTAACTGCAGGCCTCAGAAAAAGGACATGGATAACTAGGTGACATACTGATGGATACTGGGCTGCACTCGTACCAGTGTTGCCAGCTGATCCATGGAAGTGATTATTCTCTCTATTCAGCATTGGTTAGGCCACATCTGGAGCACTGTGTTCAGTTTTGGGGCCCCCACTATAGAACGGATGTGGACAAATTGGGAAGAATCCAGCAGAGGGCAACAAAAATGGTGAGGGGTATGGGGCACATGACTTATGAGGAGAGGCTGAGGGAACCGGGCTTATTTCATTTAAAGAAAAGGAGACAGAGAGGGGATTTAATAGCAGCTTTCAACTACCTGAAGTGGGGTTTGAAAGAGAATAGAGCTAAACTATTCTTAGTGGTGGCAGATGACAGAACAAGTAGCAACTGTCTCAAGTTCCAGCAATGGAAGTTTAGGGTAGATATTAGGGAAAATTTTCCCACCAGAAGGGTAGATTTAATAGATATCATAGACATTAGGGTTGGAAGGGACCTTGCGAGATCATCTGGTCCAACTTCCTGCCCAAGGGCAGGAAGTCAGCTGGGGTCAGACGACCCCAGCAAGATAATCATCCAAACGCATCTTGAATGTATCCTGACTAGGTGCTTGAACCACTTCTGAGGGGAATCTATCCCTGACTCTGGAGACTTGGACGGTAAAGAAATTCTTCCTTATGTCCAGTCTAAAATTGGCTTCCAACAGTTTGTGAACGTTGGACCTTTGTTTCCTTGGGGTTGCCCTGGTGAACAGACATTCTCCCAGGTCCTGATGCACACCCCTGATATACTTATAGGCTGCCACCAAGTCTCCCCTGAGACTATGCCTTTTCAAGCTGAAGAGTACTGTGCCTCTCACCCTCTCCTCATATGGCCTGCTCTCTTGACCACTTATGATGTGCATAGCCATCTTCTGGACTCTCTTGGGCTTCTTCACATCCTTTCTAAAGCGTGGATCCCAGAGCTGGATGCAGTACTCCAGCGGTGGCCTCACCAAATCTGAATAAAATGGGAGAATGACATCTTGGGTCTTGTTTGAGATGCATCAGTAGATGCAAGCCAGAGTTTTATTTGCTTTGCCAGCTGCAGCATTACATTGGTGGCTTATATTTATCTTTTGGTCAATCATGACTCCCAAGTCTCTTTCAGATGTAGTTCTAGTGAGTGAAGCACTGCTGAGCCTATAGGTATAATGTGGGTTTTCTCCCGAGGTGGAATACCTTGCATTTCTCTATGTTGAAGGTCATCAGGTTTGTATCTGCCCAACTTACGAACCTATCCAAGTCAGCCTGGATCCCCAGCCTATCCTCCAGTGTACCTGCACTTCCCCACAGTTTGGTTTCAAAATACTGGAACAGGTTACCCAGAGAAATGATGGGCTTTCCATCCTTGGAACTTTTTAAGACCCAGCTAGATAAAGCTTTAGCTGGGATGATCTAGTTGGGGATGGCCCTGCTTTGAGCAGGGGGTTGGACTACATGATCTCCTGAGGTCCTTTCCAACCCTAATTTTCTATGACTCTATGATTCTATGCTGCTAATCTGAGGGTGGCTGTGAAAGAGTTAACGATGAAGTTCATCTCTCCTGTCTGCTGTCTGAGAGGGAAAATGTTAGCTTCTTTCAGCATAACCTCTCCAAGCTTCTATTCCAGCCAAGAAAAATCAGCTCCCCTGCTTAAGATATATGCCACAATTTGGAACGGTTGCTTTTTGGGTTAAAAAAGTACACATAGTGTGTGAGTAACTATGGTAATCAAATCTTATTGGTAATGTAAAGTTCATGTAGTATAATGTGCTGAGAAACAAAGATTCCCAGGATATAATGGCATGCAAGATATTGAAACAGCTACGGACATCATTTTATGACTTTGTTGGGTACATGAGCTGTGATTTATAATACAAACATTTTAGGATCACAGCATCATCATGTGCAATACTATGTAAAACAGTGACGTTGCCCAACTAACATAAATATATCTTTATACAACTATCACCACAGAGAGAAGATATTTGTTTTATATCTCTTCTGTTAAACACAACATATTTTTTCAATGCTGTATTATGACAATCAGAACTATTACCTCAATATTTATAAGAAAAATAGTACCTGCATTTACATACACTGAAGAATAACTTTCTGGCTTATTGTTCTCCACAGGGCATTCTTCACCTCCTTGTTCCTCAGGCTGTAGATCAGGGGATTCAGCATGGGGATTACCATGGTGTAGAACACAGACACCACTTTGTCCTGGTCTGCCAAGTCACTGGAGCTGGGTCGCAGATACATAAAGAAGAGTGTCCCATATAATATGGCAACAGCAGTCAGGTGTGAGGCACAGGTGTTGAAAGCTTTGCATTTGCCTTCAGCAGACTTGATCCTCAGGATGGCAAAGATAATATAAAGGTAGGAGATGAGGATGATCATAATGGTGGTTAAGGTTGCTAGAGCAGCAAAGATGAAATGCACCAGTTCATCAAGGCGAATGTCAGAGCATGAAATTTTTTGGAGTGGGGGGATGTCACAGAAAAAATGGTCAAGGACATTGGAGTGGCAGAAAGAGAGGCTGAAGAGAGAACTGGTATGGGTGATTGCATTGACAAAGGCACAGATGTAAGAGATGACTATCAGCTGGATGCAGACTTTCTTGGACATGATGAGGTGATAAAGCAAGGAGTTGCATATGGCTATAAAACGGTCATATGCCATTGCAGCCAGGAGGCAAAGCTCAGTATTAGCACAGAGAGAGAGAAAAAAAAACTGAACCATGCAACCAGTAAAAGAAATGTTTTTATTCTCTCCTAAGGAAATGACCAGGGCTTTGGGGGCAATAACGGTGGAGTAGATGACATCTAAGAGAGACAAGTTGCTGAGGAAAAAGTACATGGAGGTGTGTAACTGGGGGTTGACCTTTATCAGTGCTATCATCCCGAGATTCCCTATCAGGGTACAGAGGTAAATGAAGAAGAACAGCATGAAAATGATAACTTGCAATTTTGGGTTGTCTATAATACCCCGGAGGATAAAGCTAGTCACCCTGGTGAAATTTGCAGAAGCCATTTGTTCCACAGATGCTGTCTGCTGCTGCTGAAGAAGTCAGTGCTGGGGTGAAAGCAGCAGATACCACAGGAATGTCTCTAACTGTTCACTGATGTACAGGAAAGATGTTTAGTATCTATGGGTTAAGAAAAGTGATGTGTAAGAAGAGTTACAGACGAATATAAAGTGCAACATGTTAGAATTGTTTCCCTTTCTAGGTAAACACTTTAAGAGTTTCAGAACTTTCAGAGAAAAATCAAAATCCATAATATTTTAGTCAAATTCTGAATTATTTTCACTGAAATATGATTTTTTTAAATGGTGCCACACTGTGCCTTGGGGGAAAAAAATAATCTTACAAGTACGTCTAAATGAATCATAGCATGGAAAATGCCAGGCAGTGTGGCAGCATTTCCCAAATAAAATGTACAGTTTTATTAGGTTGCCAAAAAAGTTGAACTTTTCCATGTAAGATTTCAATGAAAATAATTTTTTCTCATTATTTTTTTCAGTTTTTTCACAGCTAAATTTGGAGCATGCAAAGCACTAGTAATACCTCATCAAGAAAATGCTGTACAACCCTGATCACTCCTGCTAAAAAAAATATGAAACTAAACTGGGACACAAAGAAAATGAGGTAACTTGTTTGATCAAGAGAATGGGGAGGTTTTCTTATGAAAGGTGACCAGAAGAGCTAGGCTTGTTTAACTTACCAAAATGGTTCTGGAGCTGATCTCCAAAAGAAGTTCATTGAGCTTTTCAAAGGTGATGAGGGAAGTCAGATGCATGTTCCTTTGAAATTTTATGGGACTTGGTCACTGGTTTATCAGTAGTTTTAATATCTCTTCCATTCTTCCTTTGTCGGAAAGCCCATGAACTTCAAATTTTTAAATCTATTTACCATCTTAACACCTCTTAATAAATTATTGTCAGGCAAAACTGAGAAATCTAATTGGCCAAAATCCTGTAAGTGGTCTTTGGCACAATGAAAAGTTGAACCTAGACCTCTGAATCATTCAGGCATCGGCATCACATCACCCATCAACATTTAATTTTGTAAAAGAAAACCTTATGATGGAATTGGATGTTTTGAAACCTTTGACCCAATGCCACTAAATTCAGAACACTATCTCTTCCTTGGACACACACAAGGCTTAATTATAATTGTTGGGCTTGTGGATTTGTGGAACACTCCCCCCTCCCCCCCTCCCCCCTTGCAACATAAATAAAAAACAGCAGTTGAATCGAGAGTATGATTTAGGGTGCTGTTACAGGTTACGTTTGAAACATTTTAAATCTGTGAAATGCAATGCATCATAAAGATAGAACAGTTTCAGAGCAGTCACGGTTGAAGACTCAATGCCATCTCAGACCTCCACAACTGTGACTTGCCACTAGAGGGCCTGACAACCAGGGGCACAAATAGAAGCTAGGACGCTCCTTGCTTTGGGTGGGAGAAGATGGGGGAGGATAACATGTGTAGCTTGGAGGTAGAGAAATCATGTGGCTTCTCTCACGCTGCAGCCAGCAGGAGCCAGAAGGAGCCAGTCAGAGCTGTGGGTAGGAGGCGGAAAATCTTGCAAAAAGAAGAGTGTTTGAAGTGAATGGGCAAGGGAGAGAAGGAGAGAAAAGGAACGAAAAAAGAATACAAATAAAAATAAAGGACCACAATTTTCCATTCATTTCACTGAATTGGGATTGGTTGGATTAGTACTCACATCAAGCAATGCTGAGACCCAATGAGCTTGATGCGTGCCACACCAGGGAAAAAGGTTAGCACTCACACCAGGTCAGAGCTACACGCAACTCACACCGGGGGCAAAGCTGAGATCCAAGGGACTCACTGCATGGGTTAGCTAAAGGGAGTGCGTGGGTTGGAGGAAAGGAGTGGGAAAAGCTGGGAACAGTACATCCTGGGATTCTAGAGGAATTAAAATAGAACATTTTATCTCCTCGAAGCAGACAACAATACTCTGAAATGACTTGGGAAAAATGGATCAAAGATAAACCTCATTTGACCTGGCATAACTTTAAAATATGGGTTAACAACCTGGTAATGAGTGAATGCTCCCATGTTAAGTGTCTTTATGGCAGTTTAAAGTAACCTATAACACCACCCCTTATGTATACTATAGCCATGATTTTATAATGCACAAAAACCTGTACTGGCACACATGAGAATAGACTTCATTGGAGATCTGGAGAGGAAGTAGAACATTTTAGAATGCCAGTCTACACTATAGCTAATCACTCATACTTCTATTTTCAATATATGTAGCTTTTACATAAGTACTCATTGGTACTCCTCAGAATTCTGGAGACATCAATATCATTTCCAACGTTAATGTGGCATTTTGAAGGGAAGAAATTGGAAAGCAAAAATATACTGCTCAGCCAGCTGGGTTTTTTACTTTAGTGAATCTAGATTCCTCCAGAAATTACTACTATAAATTAGAATTATGTCCAGCTGCCTGAGAGAGAGAAAGAGAGAATATCTATCATACATCATCATTTGAAGCCTACCTGCAGGAAGGAATTATGTGGCATTTTGAACCAGAAGAGGCTTACATATGGAGGGTGATAGGTTTGTTTATATATTGGTTTAATTAGCATTTTGGGGTAGAATCCCTAGACACCTCAGAATCTGAACAACATACCAGGTCCAAACAGGTTCATAAAAACATTGTTCATAGTTCCTGGGGATAAAGAGACACAAAAAAATCACCTCTAAACATTTGTAAATGTCATGATTTTGAAACTTTTTTTTTTTCATTTTAAAGCGACTTGTTCCTTATTTTTCAGCCAACAATCTGTACAATGTGTAAACATTTAACTCTGCCAAGCATTTACAAAGAGTGATATGATCTGGAAAACAGAAGATGATTAGGAGATGATTTTTTTTCAGTTCACTAAATTCTATAACCATGTGGCTAAACTTTATCATTGTTTGTGGCACTGGAAATATAAAATCCCAATCCCTCCTAATTTTCAAAAGAAATGAAGAGCTGTACTGCATTGGGGTTGAAGGCTGGGATTTTAAAAAGAAAACCCTTGAAAACTCCTGTCCAAAGGGCTCTCCTAGGAGTCGGTAGTCCAGACTCCTTGATTAAATTTTAGGTGGTCAATCACCATAGACTGTGGTCCATTTGATTAATCCCATGTTTTTGTTTTATAGTGAAGCTTGGGGTACATTAAGTACATTTAAAAATTCAATGTATGCATTACTATGAAGTATACTAATCCATCTTTTCCTCTGTGAGGGAATAACCCATTCCCTAAGTACATTTTAAGTTTGCAGGGCCAAATTCCAAATAGTCCTAAATGAAAGAAAAGCACATAGTTCATTTTATTTTTGCTCACTTAATGAAAAAGAGTGCAAGTGAGATGTCATTCCCACTGAACTATGATTATAGATAACTAAATAGCAATCTAATGCCAATCATATTTGAATACTAATGATACATTCTGTACCTTAGTGCATGGAGGGAAGTGTAGCAGTCTGCGTGATATTCTCTTCCCTTCCTGGTCATCTAAGTGTTCTGCTTTGATTGCCTCCTTGGCATTTTTGGTCATCTAAGAGTCAAAAATGCCACATACACACACAGGATTTCTGGATGCATAGCCTGCCTACATACATAGTAGTCTATATGCACAGACCAGGCACATTCACTGCAATATAATGGAGAAGAAGGACCAAGGGACAGACTCAAACTTTATTTCTTTTGCCCCCAATAGCTGAGTGCCTAGGAGGCCAGAGAACCTGTGTTCTAGGCCGTCCCTGCCTGAGGGAACCTGACTTCCCAGCATATCAGTCAAACCACTGCACTGCAACTTAAGCATTACCCAGGGGCCCTCTCCAATACACTATCTGAAGTTGAGCCACTGCCCTTTTGTTTACTGTAGTCTTTGGAAAAGTTTAAGAAGGGGTGGATGGTTTGTTTCTGCATCACTTAGAGGAAGGATCTTTTTAGGCAGACTAGTAGCCACCTCACTGATCCTCCCACCATCTGGTTTGCAAACTTTCTCCTAGCCCCATATATTTCAAATGCTTCATGCTTCTGTCCACCCAAGAGGAAAGCTTCAAAAGGAGCACCAGAGAGCAGGTTATTGATGGCTAGAAAATGGTATTTAGAGGTTTACTTTTAGGAGTTGGTTTGTAGGTAAAGTAGATATAGCATTAAAATAATGGTCCAGGACAGCAGCAAGGGTTAATTGATTTATAAAAGCCTGTTTGTGACAGATTTTTTTCAAGGCCCACTGTGTCTGACACAGGCAAGAAGGAAGCAGACGCAGCCTGGGAAACTGAAGACATGTGCCACTCTGTTCTACAACAGAGATAAGGGACTCTGCCACATTGGCCAAGTCACAGTACCCACTGTAGAGCCTTTAAGATTTCTGGTGTTGGTAGATAGACCAAATTCGAAGGAGACTGGTAAAAGCTCAAATTAAGATGTGTGCATGTGATAGGTTTGTGAAACAAAGGAATTTGCTGACAGGACAGAACGTGGACACTATGATGACCACAGGGAGGCTAATCAATAATGCCAGAAATGAAGATTCATTGGGAGGGGATAAATAATACAAAAAGAGGGATTTCAGAGGAACAAAGAGATCCCTGACAGGGGAACCTGAAGTTACTATGGACAGAAGGCACACCACCAGCTGCTCTCACTCACCCCACTGGTAGAACACCTGCCAGCCTCTCCACTGGGTGAGCCCCGTGTCTGTGGGACTCACCATGAAATTCACACACACATTAGTGTGGTGAGATGCCAGGGTGCTGGGCACATGTCCCTGGGCTCCACACCCTAAGTGCCTCCACCCCAGTGACCCCCAACCAGGGAGGGTACACAGAGCACTGTATATAGCCTGCACAGAGAAAAGGATGCTTTATTGGTGATGGGTGAAGGGGATCTGTTACCAAATTTGCCCATTACTTTGGGGTGTGCTCATTTATTAGGGATAGTTTCTAGGGTCTTGGTGATTCTGTCAATGTGCTGCTTGTGTTACTATACAGAGCTGTATTTCTTCCTTCTGCAAGCCCTCACCCCCAGTGGAGCTATCTTGCAGGACTCAATCTCGATGGGACTGGGTTCCTCCAGTCACCAAATCAGTCATACACACAAACACACACAAATTAACATGACACGCCTGACCTGGCCGGGCTGATCAGCATGGACAGGCTGACACCCTCATATGCCAAGAATCAGTTCATAAGAGCAACAATAAAATGCAGTCAGACACAAGCACACAGGTAAACAGAATCCCTCTGAATCCGGCTGGGTGTCCAGCTGACACCCTCATGGGCCAGCATTCAGTTCATAAGGGCACGTCTGAGTCAAACTGGGTCAATCAGCCTATACAAGCTGATCCCCTTATGTGTTTCAAACTCAGCACGTCCCAATCTTTGGCCTCTTGATGAGCAGACCCCACAATAATTTGGGCTTCACAGGGATCTTTAGCATAGGTAAAAGAAGCGTTGCTGCAGAGCACGGGAAGAAAGAGAAGCAGAGAAGGAAAAATATACACAACTACTACCAGTTTGACTATAAAAGTTATTTATTGCTAAGCATATGAAATATATAATAGTACTAGTAGTAATAGACATGCAAAAGAAAAACAAACACCAACAATGACAATACTACCCTGGTTTCACTAAGTATTTGGGGAAACTTAGCTCAAGCTTAACTGATACAGTTCAGGTTCAGAAGTTTATGCCTAGAAAGAAGACAGAGAACGCTGGGATCTCACCTAGTCCACGGTACTCAGGCTGCAAAGCTGACAGGCACAGTCCGTAGCACAATCCTTGAAGAGAGAGACGATCTGTCTCAAGAACGACAGGGAACGTCCCAAGAACGACAGGGGATGGTGTCAGCACAGGGGTTTTCTTCTTCTCCTTCTTTCCTCCTGCTTATACTTCTTTTCCTTCCTTTTCCTCTTCCTCTTCTCCCTCTAGCAGCACACACACTTACAGATTTTTATACCCTCAGTTCAGCTGCTTTGAAGCACCCTCAGTAGTGTAAATCATTGTCTTTTCTATTGACAAGGGGTTATCTGGTTTGGACCATCTCAGGAAACTGATTGATAATCAGGAAACACTTAAGATTAGGGAGTAACCCAAATACTTGGGAGCCAGCTTGAAATTCCTATGGGTGGCAGATATACTGATGGGATATCTCATGGTTTCTTCAGGAACAATAGATAGCTTGCAGCATCAGGATTTTGGATTTTTACTTGTTGTGCACAAGCCTCAGCTTAGCATGACTTTTCCAGATCTTACTATAGTCTTTTAACAGACTTAAAACAATTATTGGGGTGCTCATAACCTTTTGTGGAGAGGACTCCCACCAGTCGTCTCGGGAAAGATATGACAACACCTGGGATTAGGGCTCCAGCAGGCTGGATGCTGTGATGAACCCTTAACCATTGTTCAAATGTTGCCCATACCCCCTCTGACTCGGTCTCTTGCCTCAGCATTCCCTAACCCGGCAACCGAGTTTTAGTCAATCAAGTTTATCCCCATCATGCAGTGCTCCCCTGCTTCTCTGGTCCCAGAATTCACTGCAGTCTCTGCTTCAGGCTTTTTGTTCTCCATCTCTCATGTAAATGAATGGTCATCTGGTTCCATCTTGGATGTAAATGAGACCTAGGGCAGTTGGTTCACTCTTGTCACCCTTATCTTGAGAGTCTTAGGTGCGTCTCTCACTGCATTTTAATCAGTTTCGTTTAGGTAGAGGAGGGGAGGGAGTGGGGGTGAGTCCTTTGTGAGTCAGACAGACTGCATCCTGTGCCAGGGTTGCCCAAGAACACACAGCTGAGATGTAACAGATCTGTGGGTCAGGGGAAGGTTTATGTGGTTTAGGAGGGAGTGAGGAATAGGGTCTTGTTGGGGAGGGAAGAACAGGGTCTGTGTTTCTGGAGGGGAATAAAGTGCTTTTCTGAAAACTGTCCACAGTGAATGTCATGCTGGGTGTGTGTGGTGGGCCTGAGGCCTGGGGCTGGCTATCCAGGTGGCCTACAGAGGGAAGTGCAAGAGGAGGTGGTCCACCAGCACCTCTCGCACCCAGCACCCTGGCATCCCACTGCCAGGTGTGTGGCTCATCCAGTGCCTTGGTGGGTGAGGCTGTCACTGTCACTACTGCCACAGCTGGTAGACCTGGTGCCAGGTGCCCTCCACCCATTGCACCTCCTCTGCCCAGGCATCGCAAAAGAACTCCTCACACAGGCTACAACAATGACATGGGGCAGTGGAGGCCTCTGTGACCTCAAGTTGGGCAGTGAGAGTCTACCAGTATCCCTTCAGGTACCTGAATGTGCACTTCACCAGTGCATGGGTCTGGCCCAGAAATCTATTGAAATGTGCCTGGTGGGGGGCCAGCTGGTGGTGTAGGGCCATGTGAGTCAGGGGAGGAGTGGGTTGCCCACTCTCCACCAGGGCTGGCAGGGTAGAGTTCCAGAAGGCACTGGCATCATGCACACTTCCCACACAACTGTTGCTCCCATTTGTGAAGGCACCACAGTGGTCAACAACATCCTGCAGCATGCCGGAGTGGAAGTCCCACCCACTGTAGTAGGGGCGGTCACTGTGGGGTGGGCAGATCATGGGGATGTTGGTCCTATCCAGGGCCCTGATGCACTGGGGGAAGCCCAAGGTGTGGAACTCCACCAGCACCTTCAGGGGGTTGTGGACC